ATTTCCCCTGTGTGTGGTCACATTCTGCTATAATTATTGGCCATAATATCCATAGTGTGAGAGGATAAGATACCAGTGCAGGCAGAGAATATGAAAACACATGCCTAAACATAAATATTAGATATATGCATAGGTAACTTTATACATATGTAATATATACATTTGTATCACCACGAAAAATGGGAGAAGCTACATACTCTGAAAATGATAGTAACTGTTGTTCCTTGGGCATAAATTGTGTCACAGTCAGTAGGCAGTAATCTTCCCCTACAGTGGGGAACAAAAGTGACTCCAAACACTCTAAATGTTTGTTCTCTCAGTTTTCACGTAGCAGGGCTACCACATCAGCTCCCTGTTACTCTCTTAATATCCTGACATCTAGACATCAATACTGTTTGGACCAGTTGAATAAATGATTTCTGTTTAGCACTAACTGCAATACCTACATCACAACCTGCCCACCCACAACACCCATGGCATGGAATACTATGGAAGAGAGGGTGGAAAGAAGGTTAAAAAAAAAGTGATACAGAATGGAATCATCTGGACATGACATCGCTGTTTCACTAAAAAATTCATTGCAGCTATGCTTACCTGCAGAAGACATGTACAAGATCAAGCCAACCAGATCAGTCAACACAGCTGCATGTAGAACTAGTAAGAATATCACACACATACACACACGCACACACAGAGAGAGAGAGAGAGAGAGAGAGAGAGAGAGAGAGAGAGAGAGGACATGAACATAGAAAGAGGTGTGTTGGGGGTGTCCATGGGGAGAAGGAAGAGAGAGCTGGTGTGGACAAATAATCAAGACACATTGTATATATGTATGAAGTTGTGAAAAAGATGGATTGCATACATATATGAAATTGTGGAAATATAAAAGCTCTTCTAAAAATATCAAAACAAATAAGTGTGCATGTCTGAAAATATTTGTAACAGATGTTAAAAAACAAAAGGCTTTAAGGGGCTAAAAGGAAGAAAGACCATATTAGAGCACGACTCTTCCACTGCTGCCAGACCAAAGCAAATTTTATAGGGTGGTATAATTACTCAAGTAGCCACTTTGTGACAATAAACACTCCAAACCAAGAAATCCTTTTGTAACCTAATTACTGAGAGCATATAGAGAAAGCGATCATTTAATCCAGAGCGTGTGTCTACCACAGGCACTCAGTAGCTGACTCCAGACTGCGTGTGGTTTGTGTGGGCCCCCAAGAAAGAATTTGGGTGGATTGAAGTCACACAGAGTTAGAACCCAAGCAGGCCTGACAGAGCCACAGGCAGCTGACCTTCCAGGCACAGGGCAAGGCCCATCTGTCAGCTTCCATTCTGCATCTGGCAATGGAGAGGGTGTGGTAGATGAGTTATGGCTGTGTGGTTAGAGGGTGTGGCCAAGGATTTAATTTCAATATTTTTACCCTTACATTTTATACACATTTAAAACCAAAGGCTGTGCCTAACTCACAAGCTGAAAAAGGAAAAAAAGTTCTGTTCTTTTTTGTTTTGTTTCGTTTTCTTTTCTTTTAGTAAAACAAGCTAGGTGTGCGGCCCACTCCTGTCCTGTACCAAGAAGGTGAAGCCAGGAGGACCAGGAGTTCAAGGGCAGTTACAGATGAGTTAAAGGTCTGCCAGGGTTACATTAAAAAAAAAATGAGGTAAAACTACAGGTACTTCCAGTCTGCCATTGTACTGATTTAAAAATGTAAACGCCACAGACAGAAGCTACAGTCCATTTCAGAACTTATAAAAATGGTTACTTCCCAAACAAAACGACAGCACTGGTATTAATTTGGACATTCTTAGCTCATGTTTGTTAATCAACATGCTAGCACATTAGCTAAAAAATCATACTGCTACTAATAGTATCATAATAGTGTTTGTGCCATTACTACTTTTATGCGATTACTTTGCATTAATATATGCAAGCTTCACCTACGTTTATGAACCCCAAACCCTTAAGAATGACTCTCCTAACTATAAGCAAACAAATCATCCTACCTCCCAATTTTATAGAATTGTTTTAATGTTATTTAATTTTTATCAATATGAGAGTCAGTACTTTTTATTTTGTAGTTATTGGAAAAGATGCCTAGGACAATTTTACATTGTCAGCTGTTTTAAAGTACCACCTCCCAGGACAAGGTTCCTCACAACAAAGTAGCCAACACTTCCCATTTGGAATGCTCTCAGTGCAGGCCTGGAGGCCTCAGCACTTAAATCACCTTTGCTAAGATAAAATACACCAGGTTTAAAGTGAGTGACTTCACTCTGTTGCTAACAAACTGCTTCACGGCGTAACATCTGACTCACAGAGACTTTGAAAATGTGTTTCCCCTTCACAAAGAGCCAAAAGAAAATTTCTAGGTTGTGTGCAGACTCTTGAGGACCGGACCATCAGGCACCCTAGGAGAAAGGGTGCTTGCCCTCGCTACCTTTGCTTTTGGAACACACAGAGGCAGCAGCTGGAGTAAACAAGCAGCCCGGAGTCTCTAAGGTCAAGGTCTCAACTGCTATCCCAGGACCATTTCCTCCCAGACGACATGGTTTCTTGAAAAGGACTTGCTAGTGGGAGACAATGATTTTCATCCAATAAAAAGGCATAAAAAAATTCACCAATAAAGTTGAACTGACCAAAGTTTCTTTGAAATATGCCTAAATGCTAGACAAATAACTGAAATCAGACTTCAGTAATCAAGAGAAATCCTCAAGAATGTTTTATTTACCCTGGCACAGTTATATTAGCTAAATAGATGCAGCTCATAAATTATTGAATTTTCATATGAAAATATGTTAATTGTGCTGGTTTAAGGATATTTCATATTAACTGAATTAGCATAATAATCCTTTTTTCTAAGTGCATGAGAAATGTTTTTGCCAATTTTTAAGTGCTCAAATTGCTGTCTCCCAAACTTAAATGAGAGCTGCCTAGTGTCAAGACTGACCAGGCAGGCAGCATCGATAGAGACGTGACTTAGGCAATTGAAATGTCTGTTTCAAACATCCTATTTCTAACGAGATTCTACAGTTAAATTTTCTCAAGCCTAAAAATAAACTCTTTACATAACCAATCTCTACCTGTTTTTCTTTTTCTTTCTTTTTTTTTTTTTAATGTAACCAACATTCAAATGAGGACCTACTGGTAGGCTGGGTTTTTTTTTCTAAGGGAGGAGGAGTCCCCCTGTGGTAATTAAATGCCAGTCTTAAAAGCATGTCTTGGATGACGGTTTATTTTCTCATCAAAGTGACCATTCCTATTCACATCAGAAGCTGCTGCTTGCTAAAAGCCACCAAACGTCTGTGAAAGCGTTTACTTATCCAAACAACTCTCTCCTCCACTAAGAAAGGGGCATGAAGGCTTCGAGGTGGATTTGCAGAATGACGTGTATTTGATTGGCAGATGTCTAAGAAGCAACTAGATGCACAGGCACCAAATGTAAATAGATCCTCTGCCTGTCTCTCCCGTGTAGCAGGGAAACAGAATATTCACGCCAAGTTAACATATCACAGTTCTCGGTGGAGTATTCTATTAGCCAGTAGAATTATTTAAAACAATCCATACAGAACAGAGACCTAAGCCATCTGTACGGTTATAAGAGAGCTGACAATGCTAAACACAGAAACTGTTTATCCAGATTACACATTCCGTTGTACTAATACTATTTAACTCAACAAAGTCAGCTTTTATCAGCTGAATTAGGGCAATTACCAGTAAAGTATGCAAAACTAGAAGCGCAGGGGAGGGGGGCTGGGAAGCTACAGGATATCTAACAAAGGAATTGGTACTTTTTTCCAGGCTTTTGCTTCAGACGCACGGAGAAACAAAACTGTTGAGTACACCCCACCCTTTCCCCCAAAGATAAAAGTTTGCAAAGTTCTGAGAGGCAGTTCTCTACCCAACAAAAGCAAGACTGATTCTCTCGGCAGGAGAGCATCTAACGTGAACACCAACTAATGTTGCTGAGGTCAAGTCTAAGGCGAGAAGTGGCTCCTAGGCCAGCTCCACCAGCTTCTTGGCCCAGGTAGCCTTACAAAGTTGTCCCTTGTCAACTCCAGCCAGGTCCTTCGGAATTGAAAATAACAGCCACAGGCCAGCCCCTGGCTACTCCCATGGACCAGGCACGGTAGCAAGTGACAGTTCCACATCATTTTGACCAGAGACAATAATGAATGTAGCGCCAGGACCACTATTCATGCCAGCAATGTTATCTCCTCCTTAACCCCTTCCCCTCCACACTCCAGTGCTCAGACACTGGCCGCACAGCCCTGGTGGGGCTATTCATCCAGCCCATCCATTGCTGGGGTCCAACTACTTCCACAACCCCCCCCCCCGTTCGGCCCTGGGGATTTATTTCTCATCCTTGGCAACTGTCAGGCAAACCCTGCAACCAACAATTCCAGTCGGGGGAGCAAAGCATTTGCTTAATTCGCGTTACTTGCTAAGTTCTTTTTAAAATGTTTAGGGAGTGGGACAAGTAACCTCCCTCTTTCTTCTCCGCGAATCCGACTGCCGCTCCTGGCTCGGCAATAGCATCGCCCTTCCCCGGCCCCCTCCTGCTTCCCAACACTTTTCCCCCATTTAAGAACACAGACCAACCAAAATGATTTAACTTGAGCAGATGACAGAAGGAAAATAAAACACGTTAAGAGAATACGATCTGATTTGGGATGGCACAAAAAGGAGGGGGTTGTTTATTTTGATAAAAAAAAAACGGAATCGGCACAGACCTGAACAGAAGCTGCAGAGCAGGAGAAATTGTTTTCTTTCCCTCACACAGAGTCCCCCTCTCTCTCTCTCGCCCTTTCTCTCTCACACGCGCGCGCGCACACACACTCGCACACACACACACTCGCACACACACGCACACACACATACACACACGGCGTCACCCGCGCACACTCACACGCACAAGCAGAGCCTCTCAGCGGCTCTCTGCAGTTCTCAGGAAATGAATGGGGGGCAACCCAGGGAACTGTTGTACTTGCAAATGACTTACCCAGATCACATGATGCGCTAAATGTAGGGTGGGCCGGTGGGTGGAGGCTGCCGAGACGCGAGCCCAGGTCTAACGTGGGGAGCCTCGCCAGGCCCGCATCGAATTACCCCGGGGCCCAGCCGAGGGGGTTGCAAGAAGCCGCTTCTCCTCCCTTTGCAGCCCGCAGCTCAGGAAATCGGAGAGGCGCGGGGGTTGGGGCGGGGTAGGGCGAGGCTGGGGTGTGTGTGGGGTGTGGGGGGGTGAAAACAGAAAACCCCCAAACAAAAGAGCTCAGGGTCCTCCTCCCCAGAAACAAAGCCCCGCCGCTGCGGGCGAGCCCCGGGGTGGGGCTGAGGGCGGGGGCGGCGGCGGGGAGGGGCTCGCTCAGCAGGCGCTAAGTCGCTTTATTGCCATAAAATGGGGCCCCGAGCCGCTCCGCCGGAGGATTAGGAGGCGGGCTCAGAGTGTGATGGTTGAAATCCCCTGTGGGAAACTAACCCCTCCCCGATCGCAGAGGTAGAACGCAACACCCACTGCCCAGCCCTCTCCTTGCCAGCCTGGCCAGCGGCAGGGGGTGGGTCCGCGGAGCCACCACCCCGCCCCACCCCTACCCCCGCCCCTGGCCCTGGGCCTTCGCCGCGCCACCCTGTCACCTGCACCACCTCTCTGCGGCACCCTAAATAACCCACACATGGCCCCTGGCACTCCTGTAGCCGCAACCTGGGTGGAATTCTAGGGGTCGCGGAGAGAGGAACCCCCCTGATGGCAACTCTCCGGGGCCAGACTCCTGCCGAGCGGCCACCAAGTCCCCCTCTTTTGTGTCACCACGCGCCTAGGCAGTCTTGGGGAAAGAATTAGGAGACGATTAAAGAGGCCAGCCCGCGAGGACCTCGCCCACTCCCCACCACAACCAGGCTGGGTGGGGGCGAGCGAGGAGGGGCCCCGTGCCCATGCTGTCCCTGCGGCTCACCCGCGGCTAACTTGGAAAGGTGTGGGCGGAGCCGGCGGAGTCTGCGGGGTCCGCCCCCGGGCGTCCGGCGGTTTGGGCAACAATGGGGTCCCGGTGGGGGCTGCCCCGCGGGTGGCGCGGGCGGAGAGACTCGACTAACGACGACAGGGGGATCATTGTTTGGGTTCGAGTGTGTCGCACGCTGCAAGAAAGGCAGGGGCGCCCGGCTCGCGGCGATTCACCTTGGCGGGATGAATGGGGGCGAGCTGCGGGTGTGTGCCTCTGTGGGCAGCGCTGGCACACCGGGGCGCCTGACCGCGCCGGTTACTTAGGAAAGCAGTGAAGTCGATGTCGCAGGGAGGAAAGGAAGCTGGAACTGAGTTGGGACCCCAGCCAGGGAGCCAGGGAGCCAGGGAGCCAGGGACACGGTCAGGGGACAGATCGGTGCTCGGTCCTCAGGAGGGGAGCCGGGCGCTGGACGCCATCCCGGGCGGCCCCGCCTGCGCGCACCGGGCAGAGGATCCGCGAGATTCTGGGCGGGGAGAGGGAGGAGGCGGTCGCTGTCCCCGCCGCGGCTCCGGGGACTCGGGGTCAGGCCGCCTGGGAGGGTCGGCGAGGGCGGGGAGTAGAGGAAGCGGAAAGGGCCCGGCGGGGTGCAGGAGTAGGGCTGGCCCCGGGAGGTCGCTGACGGTCAGGGGACTGTGGGTACCACTTTCTTGAAACCTAGGTGAACTCCTGGGGCCTGACACCCCTACCCAGTGTCTCTGAGCTGACCCTGCTTGGGAAACCGCCCTGAAGGTGGGAGGCTGGAAGGGGAAGTTTGTGTTAGAGAAAAAAAAAAATTGCAGTTCTGTGGAGTGTAATGGGATGGGAAGAGAAACCACGGGGAAGCCGAGAAACAGGAAATGAGAGCGAAGGAGCAAATTCGAGCCAGGAAAAGCCAGCTCTACATCAGTGTGGCACTGTGGCATTTGCTGAGCACTTAAGGCCCAGGTGCGCTATTAATGAAAACAAAGGCGGGGCACCGGCTGGATGGGCTTTGCCCTTGCCACGTTTCCTGCAGGAGGCGAATGGGAAAGGTGGTGCATGGAGAAGGGGACTGGAACAGCCTTTTCCTAGTCAGGACAGGATGAATCAGCGGGCCCAGAGTCCACTAAGCCGTAAAACAATATTGAGAGAGACAGTGTGTCCCAGTGCTAAGGTTTCTAAGAAGACCAAATGAAATAAGTGTGAAAGTGTCTGAAATGTATGAAGCACACCCTTCCAGAGAAGAAGCTCTAAATGAGACAACAGTTGAAGCTGGGAGTGTGGGACCCAGGCACCCAGAGAGGAAATGGAGCTTAGAGGATGAAGGGTTCAGTGCTGCAATGGGGGGGGGGGGGAGGGAGTGTCTCTCTTCCAAGAATTGCAAAACTGCGACCTTTTCTGATCTCGAGTCAAGGGAAAGCCTTCTCCAGTCTTCTGCATCCGGACAGAAAGGATGCTGCAAACCCAAGTTTGAAAAATTGCAGCATATCAACAAATGTGCATTATTTAAAGGAAAATCTCTCCTCTACTGGAATCATTGGAAAATTTCTCTGCAGGTGGGGCTGGTATAGGCCAGGAGTGAATTTAACTAACGGTGGACGGATGCTCTGAGAAATTATGTCATCTTGGCAGTTCTTAGGCTAACAGCTTTCTCAGAGAACGGAGTGCTGAAGCAGATCGTCAATATATTCTACAGAGAATGCTTCTATGCGCGGGAAAACAAAATGCCTCCTCCCTGTGGCAAGAGCCAAGGGCCTGTTAGTCAAATGATGACGTTTGAAACTAATATGCAGGAATTCAGTCCAGAAGGAGAAGGAAATTAAGGGCAGGTCAAGGTTAATGTGTAGAGTCTGAATAGGGCATCTGGTTAAAAGAAGGGAGTACATCAAGTATTAGGAAAAATGCTAGCAACACAATGACAAAAATTAAGTAGAATTAAAAATGTTAAAATATGACAACTCCCCAGCTATAAATAGGGGTGGCGGTTGAAGAAAATACAAGCTTGGAGGGGAGAGTCACTTATCCTGTGAACAGGAATGGGTGTGGGAAAGCAAATACAAGGGATTTTAAAGGGATGCATGGATCTCTACACTAGTATTTGTTTCAAATGAATTGTTTATCTTTCTTCCTCGGTACAGAATTGAAAACGTGCAGTGTGGACAGGAGAAAGAGAGGCAAGGAAAAATGTCCTGCCTTAGAAGGATGGAAATAGTTTTTATGGGTCAGACTTTCTACTCTACCCCATGTGTATCCAGGGACATGGAAAATCAGAACAAGTAAAAATGACAAAGTGTACAATTTTGATAATACAGAGAAAATATCTATTTAAAAGCAATGCTTTGGGCCAATGATAATGGCCCATTCCCCTACTTACTTTTTACTTGTTATTTAACCTGAAGAAAACTGAATTACTAAAAATATTATTTTGAGGTACACATGATACACACATTGGATTTTCTTTACCTAACACAATGGACAGAAAAGATGAGAAAACACAAAAACCATCATAGACACATAATATAAGTGACTTGATGTGAATTACATCATAAAACTAACAACTGGAGCTTTTTAAATGATAGGAAAGCAAATATCTCTACCCGCAACCCTTTCTTAAATCTCACACTTAACTAATGGTAGTTTACTGAAATCAATATCACCGGGAGAGCAATTGTTTACAGTATAAAGAGGTTTAAACCTGTACCACACTCCAAGGCTGTATGGTAAAAATTCTCTTCAAACGTGTATTAAAAGTCATTAGTCCTTTGGATTAAAGAGGACAAAAACTGCAGGAATGATTTTACACTGACCCCGGGTAGAGCTGGGGGACACAGTGCATTTCAGAAACCAAGGCATTGTTGAAAGATTAGAGTCAACTGGAAGTGAAAATAAAAGTGATCCCCACAGCGCTGCATGAAGCTTAAAAAACAACCTAACTTGTATACCAACAGATAGATCCTCACTGCCGATTTTTTTCACGTGCCATATTTGGGCAATAATGTGCAGCAAAGGGGAATTCTGTTCAAGTGTGAGAAACGCACGTTCATAATCCTTAGTACAAATGCAAACAGCTGGTGATATTACGCGATGATGCAGTAAACAGCATGTTTTGATTTGGATGGTGAGCTGTCTGGAAATTAGGAGAGAGAAATTCCATTTTATGATTTTGCTACAATCATCACAGCTTTGGGTTTTTTGTTAGATATCCACTTTTCCCAATTTCCCCCACACCTTCCTCAGACCACTCGTCCTTGGTGCCATTAATGTCAGAACCCCTTCAGACGCTATACTTCCAGACTTCCTTTTTGATCTGTCCCACTCCTTCCTAGGCAAAGCCTGAGTTGTTATATAATTGATATCATAATCATAGAAATCATTTATAAAATTTGTGCAATATATATATATATATGTAAAACCAACTGGGAATTGGTATAACTGTACCTCATCCTGGCATGTAAGAATCTTGTTTTGACTTTCTTACGTCATATTATCTCTTGCAGTCCAAGGAGTCAGTGTACCAGAGGCCAGCCACCTTGGATGCCTTTACCAAGAGGCTCTTCTCTGTCATCCCGTTGAATCCTGAAAACATGGTTGCATGACACCCCATGCACATGTGGGCATGGCCTATTCAGTCATTGAAAACATTCTCTATCCCTTCTTAGAACTTTTTCTTAATGTAACACAAAGACTCTCTCATTCACTAACTAGTGTGTAAGCCCCTCCGTGTGTGTGTGTGTGTGTGTGTGTGTGTGTGTGTGTGTGTTTAGAAGAGTCATAGTTTTTCCACCTACTTAAATAGTTCCCTTGTCCTGAAATGAAATCCATGATGTGGACCCATGTAAGATGTAAGATATACTAGGTCAAATAGACATCAATAGATGTTGACTTCTTATGGTATTCTTCTATTATGTAAACACTATAGTTGGCATACCTATTACAAATAATACATTGAGAATCAGAGCTGTGTCTTAAATCTTAAACACTTATTTAATTTCTTTTTTAGTCCCACAGTTTTTTACTTAATTTTACTGTCCCTTTCACATTTAGGTCTTTGAAAAGTACTTAATCAATGGCACTTTTCACTCTTTAGTAGAATTATATAATATTATACTGTATTAGAAAAACAATTTTTCAGTTTAAAGTAGAAATTTTTAGGAAATTATTTTTATAGCATATTCCAACTTGTTGGGTTACAGACACTGGAGTTGTATTATCCTAAAGATAAATGCTATTTTTAAATGTAATCAATTGGGACATGATATTGGAAAAGTCATGCTCACTTGAAAACTTAAGTTTAAATAATATCCTCATGGAAAGAATATAATTGAGTTAAATACAGAGCACCACTCTCATTTCAGATCATAGAAAAAACGACTACCCA